AAGCGCTCCCTTGTAAGCAACCTTCTTCCGTTTTACTCTTTCTTAGTCCATTGATTCTTCCCCTCCTATTGTCGAAACTCTACCTTGATTAATCTCAATCTACTTGTACGAACCCTAATTTCCGATGAAGGATTGTGTGCGGATTAGTTTCGTCTTTTTCTGGGCGATTTTCTTCTCTTTTGGTGTGTTGAATTGTTCTTCGATATTTTGTTCTCCATTTGATTGCTGTTCTTGTGTGGTTAGGGTTTGATTTAGGATTAGTGGTCTCTGTTCAGTTCCCAAAGTTATGGGTTTTTGGTTTTAATTAATTTGCTTCATGTGACAGTCAAAATAGCTCTCTCGTTCTAGAGAAGCATGAACCTAGTGATGATGATGGCTGCTACAGAAACTGTTTTTCTCCTGATTGCATTTGATTTTGAGCTTTAGTTCTACCAATCGGTTACATTAATGGAGATTAACCCATGAGTGGTATGCTTTCTCTGAATCAGTTCATTTTCCATCCACTTGGTTCTTGTCATTGTTACTATTGTGGAAATTTGGTAACGGCTGGTTTCTAAACTGGAAGCTAGTGGTTTTTTTGATGATATATCTTTACATCTGCTATGTAGGTTAAGCTTGGATGATAGAGTCACTTGACTTTCTCTTACAATGAGTGAACGAAGAAATGAGATTTCCAGGCATCAGCGGATTGAGAGTTTTCGTGGTGAAGGGCCTAACTGGCTCTTAATTGCAGGGGGTGCCTTGTTGAGCACTTTGTCCATTCGCCTTGGGTACAAACTAAAGCAGTCAATTGACTCGAAACCTCATTCAAATGGCACTGGTGGAATTAAACGTACTTATCGGTTTACTGCTTACCTGTCCTAGATTTCGGCTGTATTTTCTATCTTATTGGAAGGTTCTTGTGCAGCCAATGGAACATCTGACAGAGGAAGATCTCTTGGATGCTGCTTGCACTCTAATGCGTCTTCCTATACAAGGAATAATGATTGTTGCTTCCACTGCACTCCCGGTGAGGGTTTGTTATTCTTACAGTTGAATTTTCTTATACATATCTGCTAGTCTTGACTTCATATACTCTCTTACTAGGTTTGCGTTCGTGGAATCTTTGAGTAAAATAGATGCAAAATGATAGTGTTAAACTATAGTATCTTGCATACTGATGTCTTTGTAGCCCAATCAGGAATTATAAGCTACTTGTATCAATGAGAGCAGAATTTCCCTGCCAACAAATTCTGCTTTCTCTTTGAAGTCCTTCTCCTTGCCCAGAAAAGTTTTGTGTGGGTGTTCTCAGAGTTGGCTTCTTCTTTTTTCATGTAGGAACTGGGAATGTGGAGGGAAATCATTATACAAACGAGCAAATGACGGATCCCAGTACTTCACTGCCTCTTGTGACGGTTACTGCTCCATCATATAGCAAAGAGAATGGAGTCATGTGGACATCTTCTCCTGATCATCTGGAAGTGCCCATGAAACCATACAATCACCATTCAACCTGCTCAGATTCTCCATGTGTATCTGAATCCGGATCAGACATCTTCAGCAAGCGAGAAGTAATACAGAAACTGAGGCAACAGCTAAAGAGACGCGATGACATGATACTTGAAATGCAGGAACAGATTCAAGAGTTGCGAAACTCGCTTGGCGGGCAGATGGCACACTCTAGCCATCTCCAAACACAGCTAGACACAACAAACAGGGATCTGTTTGAATCAGAAAGAGAAGTGCAGAGATTAAGAAAGGCAATCGCTGATCACTGCATGGGACACGGAGGTAGCAACGGTTGGAGCGGCGGTGGTGATGTGAACGGGTTTATGGACAGCGAAAGCAACTATGAGACAACCGAAAAAGGATTAAGGGATGGAGAAAGAATAGAGATGTTGAGAAAGGAAGTGGGTGAGCTTAAAGAGGTGATAGATGGGAAAGAGTATCTGATTAGGAGCTATAAAGAGCAAAAAACAGAGCTTTCGCAGAAGATCAAAGAGTTGCAGCAGAGATTGGATTCACAGCTCCCAAACATTTTGTAGGCGGAAAGGTTAGGCATTGTGCATTCTTATACTAGTCTTGTTTTCTTTTTCTCGAGAAAAAAAAAGTTAATGAGTCTTTGTCTCTCTGGGAAACCTCTTGTATGGCTTGACTGTTTTGGTTATGAAATTTCAGCTTTAAATGTCTTGATCCTTTGCTTTTTTGGTCTTGGTGAAGTGAATATTGGAAAGTCTACACTTTCGAGTGACTTGATCAGATAAGGACTTTGAGTTGAAGTTAGTTGGTTTTTAGATATTTCTAGGAAGTTGATTGATCTCAGATGAATTCTAGCATTGTACTTGGGTTTTGGTATTCATAAAGAAGAAGAAAAGAAATGGTAGGGAAGACCAAATGAAAATGTATCATAATTGTCACATAGATCAATCGTATCGTATTCAGCTGGCAGTTATTAGTTGTATTGTTTTTTAGTGTCGGCATTAGTTGTATTGTATTCCACTAAGACTGAATAATTTTAAAGGGAAAATGGGAAGAAGATGGAGATTGATAAGAGGCTTGTCAAGTGCATAAATCTAAATTCCACTAATAAAAAATTTGGCCGTTTTCATAACGGAAAAGGAAATGATTAAACCAATCAAAATGTTTAATTAGCAATAAGAATGTTTAATTAAGCAGATAAAAAAAAAGGGTAAATAAATACACAAAATTGGAGCCGAGTTTAAGGAAAAAACAACAAATCACACAAAAATACATTTCATTTCAACCACCGTAAGCGTCATCCATGGGACGTGGTGTAGGCGTGCGGAGATTTTAGTTTTAATTTTCTTCTTAATTTCTTTAATTAACAAACAAATGGAAAGAAGAAGAAACCAACCAAGGACTGTGAGGCGCCGTTTCTTCTGCCTCTTCCTC